CATTTTGAATTCCTGAAACATTAAATAAACAAATAAATAGCTTAAATAAATAAATGAATAAATAAACAAATAAAACAAATAAATATATATATGAATATGCATCTGTATGTGTATGTGTATGTATATGATATGTATATGTATATATATATATATGTGTATGTGTATATGTATGTGTATATATATGTGTATGTATATGTGTATATATAAACATGTGTATGTGTATATGTGAATATATAAACATGTGTATATGTATAGACAGACGTACAGACGGACAGACTCATATATACATAGTTTCAGTTTCCCACATCCATAGAGTACATTAAATTTGGCCTGTTATGGACAGCATAACCAAGAATATGACACTTTTCATCTATGGTATTTTCTTCGCAAGTTGTGCAACACACAATAGTTTGATAGACATGTATAAGAAAATGTAATAACAGTATCACAAAAAGGAAAAACTATGCTCACTGATACATGCAATAATCTGCACAGGCAAAGAATGATAGAAAAAAAAAATCAAGAAAATAGTTTGTGAAAAATGCTGCACAGAGAGTAGGCCTGCACCCACAGTGATGGGTCTGGGGAAAACACGCACTGTAATTTCATTTCGCGAAATGGAATGCCGTATACGAAATGGAATGAAAAGAGGTCATTTTTTGTGTACAAACCTTTAGATACACATGCAGGCGTCCCCTCTTGAACCGTATCCAAATCCCTAGAGAGGATTAACTGTAATTTCGCCAGAGATTTCAAAGAATGGCTGATAATAGATGGGCCCACGGCCTGTGGGAGAGCTAGGACGAAGCAGCTGGTCTATCGACGTTTGTCTAGGTTGGAATTTTATTTCGCAGTTTTTATTTTCTTAATTTTTTATATCATGTGTCAATTAAATAATTACCATTATTTATGGAGACTAGACTACTTTTTATATTGTATATTATTATTCGTGTCTGACATTATTGCTGTTCAGCTGTTATTCTATTGAGCTTTTGCCAGATGGCAGCACTTCTGCTATGTTGGCCAGCAGGTGGCACAGAGCCTTGTTGACATGTTTTCCCGATTTGGTTTCCGTGCATCAATACCTGCAACACTTTAAGTTGAGCATATGAACACAAGTGAGACATAAAAAAGATTATTTGTGCATGCACTGCGCATTTCGTAAATTAGGCAATATCATGTTCCATTTCGTATACAACATTCCATTTCGCGAAATGGAGTTCCATTATGTGTTTTCCCTACAGCGACAATGATCAGGTGGGGGTTTGTCTGCATAATGGGTGGGGGTTCTAGAGAGGTGCAGACACTTTTCATAAACAGTTACCAAAACGTCTATAACGTTTACAATGAAAGAAAAAAAAAAAAACACAAAAAAAAGAAACAGTTGATTCATGCATACTACCATGTGTATACTTGAAACGAGGAATAATAATCGTAAGGTTGGATGGCTGTGTGAAACCAAAAAATTACCCAATGTCCCAATGGTATTCACTTTATTTGTTAGCATTTGGGATGTGAAGCTTTCATACTGAATTACCTTGTCAACTATCATACATGATACATATGTATGCACTTATCAGTCCATAACTACCAAAGTCTAGACACTGATCCATCAACATACTTAACTAACCCTAAACAATATATCGACCTATCTACAATTCCAACATATGTGTATTCATCACTAGTATTCTATCTATCTGTCTATGTATACAAATTGCATCTCTGCTTCAACAGCGGCAGATCACGAGTCAGAAAAGATCTCACACATCACAATAACGTTTAGACACAATTACACATATGATCTCAGGTCGATCACCTGTTACCAGACGAGAATAACAAATTACAAAATGAGCATTACCTTAGTAGTACTTAAAAATATCAGAAAATCACAGCTCCTGCAAAGAACCTATATCACTGCACGAGCCTGCCTGATATTGTTTACACACGCATGGCCGATGTAAACAGTCCGAGGATAAGTGCCGATGGACTGCCGAAATGATTTTAAACGGCGTGTCAGATATGTATGACATAAAAACGCACAAGTTCCTTCTATATACTTATATACGTAATACACATATAGATATAATTGCATATATATTCATACATATACAATTAAATACATATTTCTGTGGAACAAACAACACATACATGAGTTGTCTATATGTACTTACACACACACACACACGCACACATACACACACATATATGTATATATATATATATATATATATATATATATATATATATATATATATATGTGTGTGTGTGTGTGTGTGTGTGTGTGTGTGTGTGTGTGTGTGTGTGTGTGTGTGTGTGTGTGTGTGTGTGTGTGTGTGTGGTGTGTGTGTGAGTGGTGTGCATATATATATATATATATATATATATATATATATATATATATATATATAGAGAGAAGAGAGAGAGAGAGAGAGAGAGAGAGAGAGAGAGAGAAGAGAGAGAAGAGAGAGAGAGAGAGAGAGAGAGAGAGAGAGAGAGAGAG